CGTGGATCTGGTGGAGGAGTGCAGAGAGGTGATGGAAGTGCGGGGGGAGGCCGGACTCGGGCGGCGCCCGCGACCGTCACGCTCGCTACTGGAAAGTGGCCGCGTGTCGCCGCAGAGGGGGGCGCCGCTGTTGTCTACGTGCTGTTCTGCCGCGCCCGCGCGGCAAGCGGGGCGTGAGGAGACGTTAATGGGCACGGCAGGGAAGGAGCGGCGAGCCGGCGCGCCTCTACAGCAGCCTAGAACAGCAGCCTTGGGGGGAAAAGAGACGGAAAGTGAATCTAAATTTCACGTGTAGGAATTTCTCATATACGATCTCTCATATTTGGCATATCCCATAATGTCGGTTGGATTTCTGTATTTCACGCATTTGAATATCTCGTATAAGGCAAAATATTGTAGTACAAAAAATGAATTTATTATTATTTCTAGTTATTTTGTCCTGATTTAAAGTTGAATTTGAAATAATTTGGTAAATGGGGCAGTAATGCGGCAGCATTGCAACAAAGTGTAGGTTGGGCCTGGGAATTTTTTCTTTCAAAATATAACGGTAATTTTAAAATCTATTACTTATTTATTATTTAAATAATTTTTTAAATTGTTAATCCATATTAAATTTTGTTTAATAAACTGAAATATTTAAGTAATGTTAAGTACACTCTTGGAAGAGACGGTGCCTTAATGTTTTCAGGCTTCCAACTCAACTTTCTTTCGATAAGCAATTTTATGTTATCGAGAAGCAATTACATATAGAGCGCGGCGTAATAATAAAATGTTGTTACTTAGTTACATTGTAATCACTGTATGTTTGTAAAGACAAATACATTTTTCTGCGTTTAGTTCTATCCTCGTGAAAATATAGTATACAAATAGATAAATGAAACGTAATGGATCTAAAGAAATAATAAAAATAAGATCTATGTGTACTGTGACAAGAATGACTATTTCGAATTCAGTATTGAAAGTGACACAAGATGGCAATATTAAAAGTATGCAAATTTATTCGAAGAACTAACTGAACTACACTACATTGATGGATATTTATTAATCATAATCATCCTGCATCACCTGGCCCAACACCCCTTCCCCACTCAGCCACGTTTTCATAGGACTATCTTTGTTACCACCATCGTTGCAGTGGGCAGGTGCAAGCAGATGAATTGTTGCATAGTCCCCACACGTACAATAATATTTGACCTTCAAAATCTCTGAAGCTAATTGTAGTAATGAGGCATGGAAATTGAAATGTATTTAGTAGGAAATTTTATGAGTATGAAGAAACATTTAATTCAATTTGGTGATTTTTATTAACAGTTTTCGAGATATTTGTAAAAAACGGAGAGAGTGCACGCTTAAATCTTGATCTAAGGGACAGGATAGGAGTAATTTTCACGAAATATCATACAAACAGTAACTTTTCCCTTGTTATGAAGGACCGTATATAAAGTTTCATTAAGATCGGAATAAAACTATAGATTTGGATAAAAACGAACAAACGTTCTTATTCTCAAAGATTAGATAATAGTAGAAAAAAGTAGCCGAGTTATTACAGAAAAAACTCTACCTTTGAGTAACCAAAATCTTGCCAACCATTTGAAAGATTAACCCGGATAAACAGACAAAACTCGCAAAAACAATTGAATGGGTTTTTATATCATCTAAATAAACACATGTAATTACAAAAAAGCAGTTATTTTGAAATTATTTGCATATACCCGAATTTTATTTAAATAAAAGAAGATAGTTAATATCAACACAAAAGAACTTTTAACATAAAAGAACTGAATAATTATAATTGAACTATTCTGAAGAACGTAATAAGCACTACAGATTCCCTATTTTCGCCCGATTATAGTAAGCTTTTCCACATTTGTTGCGAACAGTCGCTCAATAAATAGTTTGGTTGCCAAAATACATACGAAGTAGTAAAATGAATTGAAATATTTTTTTATCATTTTATTAAACTTGAAAACAATGTATGCGTAATATTGGGGGAGGGAGGGCTATTCACTGGATAAAGTACAGATTACCGGGAGTCCACTTCAGTGTTTCCCATTCCCCAAAAATATTGAGGGACTCGTCACTTCGTTCCTCCAGAGGTAACACCCTTGCTTTAGACATTACAGGGAACAAAAACATATTTTTATGAGTGTCTTCTACTTTAGTGTCGCTGTTAAAAACTTGTTCCGGACCGAAGAAGACTTGTTCACGGCGGAAATCTTAATTAGCAAGAAGGTGTGTTTCCATGTCAGGCGTCGACATCCGTGTCGAGAGATTTTTGGCTACTGGTTGACCGTTTATCAGAGCATAACCTCACAGGTATGCCCGGGCGATTTCGTAATGGCCTGTTGTTTTCGCCACTGTTCGAAGTGTCATTCACACTAATGTACTACAAGAGTGCATTATTACTTCATTCGAAACATTTAAACAGATGGAAAAGGTGAAAACTATGTTATAGTCATACATTGCAGTTATATTTAGAAAATATATTGCAAATGTTATCAATTAAACATTTTATTTGTTATTTTTTAAAAGTATCTACGCTACAGCTCTCTGCTTGGAAAACTTTCAGCATCACGGTTACATTTCTTCCTGAAACTACCATTAGCGAAAGAATTCGTTGTTTATAGAGCTCAATGGGATTTGAAAGCAATGTGCAACTCATCCTTGAAAGGTCGTGTGTAGCTTATTGGAAAACTTTATAGAAATATATATAAATTAATTATTGTAAATCTACTCATAAAATTAGTCTGCAAAATTATGAATTTTAAAGAGTGGTGTACCTACAAGAAATTATATCACAAACTTCTACATTTCGCATACTATTATTATTCACTTTACATGTACATAGGGGAAGAGGATTTCAAGACCATTCTCGACAGATGATTTTCAAGAGAAGGTGATTAAGTTTTGTAAAAAAATATTAATATTCTTAATGGAATTTAACTTGATGTTACAATTTAACACTACGCCTCTTCGATAGCACACTCTAGGGTAAAAAGTAAGTATAAAACTAAGACGTGTGTGTAAATGTAACGAACAATACGAGAAACATAATGAAATGAAAAAAGGTAAGTAACAGTAGAAAAATATATCTTTACATTTGTATTAAAAAATTCAATTTTGTAATACTAGTATAAAAAATTAATAATGGAATGGTGTAACAATTGTAAACCGTATATGAAATAGTAGTACGTTTGCTTAAACCTATATTGTCTGCGCTAATGTGTTAATGCGGCATAAAAATATACAGCTCGGTGGCGGTGTTTTTCTGTAAAAGCGGCTACTTTTAATAGTTGCATACCAATGACATTCCGGTATCCAAAAAATAACATTGTGTGTGTGTGTGTGGGCGTGTGTCAACGCCAGACCCCAGAACAAATTACAATATAACTGGAAAATAAGTTTTATATTTAAAAACGAATAATCTATATAATTAGCAATATACTCCAATCGATTTTTGAATATTTATTTTCCACATTTTAAGTTTTTGAGGTACTGTAAGTATATTATGCACGTTGAACATTTTCTGTGGCTCTTTCTGTGACATTCTTGAGGGCCTTTTTGACTGAGACACAGATGGAGACATCATTTTATTTTACGTCAAAAAGAGTTAAAACTGTGTCTTACGAGCTACGAGAAGAATATTCTGTGCACCTTTCATTAACTCTGGGATTCCTACCCTAAATCTATACAAGTTAAATTCTGAATACAGAACGAAATGAGCGGTTTTTGGCAAGAATTGTTTACAAAAGATTCACTCCGATGTATTAAAATCTATTTTCAAAGGCAAACAACTATGTATTTGGGCTCTTAACCTTCATTATGTTCTTCGTGAAAAAATATACTTCTGCCACGTCATGGAGAACTATAATTTGAATAACTATATTTCCCACTGAACTTTAAAAGAGGTGCGTAGATAATGAAGTTACATTTATGTTCTGAAGCAAAACAAGCGGACATCTCAGCATTTGCTCAAGGAATCAGAGATACTGGACGAAAAGCCTGGTCGAGATGGTGAATGGTTAAGAACTAGTTCAATATTTACAATGTCGAATCGATTGCACAACTATTATCTATAGCAATAAATACGATTTTAACGTGATTATGGACAGACCTGAATGCAAGCAAGTGTCGGAGTTTTCACGAAGCAATAGCTTAATAATAATAATAATAATAATAATAATAATAATAATAATAATAATAATAATAATAATGCATGGTTTCAAAATTGTACTGTAAGTATCTGATATGCTTTGAAAGACGAAACAAAGTGTTCAAAAAGGTTCTATTAATAAAAATCCTAAAAGATGAAACGGAAACTCCTTCCCTGGCTAAAGATATTGGAATGAACCATTTTGTGATCCGTTATTATCCCCCAATTAGGTATGATACTGTTATATAGCTTTAGTGGTTTCGTTAAGCGTGTTGTCGCACTTATAACCGACGTTTACTCTTAGACAGTTCGTAAACAAAGGTTTCTCTCTTCAGCTAATTCGCCTCAAACCAAAATTTAAAAAACCTAACACCAAGTGCCTCTTACTCATGTACTAGAAATTGACTTACCCACGCTGCACCGGCTATACCACGAGCCCCTATCCGAAAACCAAATCCACGCCAATTACTCGCGCAAATTTTCTTGATACACGAGAACCCTAGTCCTCAACCAGCGCCGAATAGCAAGGCACGTTGAGTTACTTAGCTTCGATTCGGAACGGCACGTACCAATTTACAGTGCTGGCAACAACCATCTCGTACTTTGAAAACAACCGTAGCATTTCTCGTGGCACGCTTTGGCGAGTTAAGTTCATGCCCACAGTTAATACGATCTTTTAAGCCGTGACGTAGCCAAAGCCAAGGCTTCTCCCCGCGCCCCGAATATCAAGAAAACTTGCGCGTATAGTACACAGACCCTTCCCGTGCACCCAAGAGACAGCATGAACTAAGTGGCTGCATGCAGACTAAGTGGCTAGAGCTGTACCTGCGCGCGATCGCGACCCACCGTCAGTGCGCGCCACCATCTTGGTGGCGTTGCGGGCGGCGGAGGGCGCCTGCTGCACCGTCGCCGTGTTGGTGCTGAAGTGGGCCTGCAGGTCGTCGGCGGTGCCGCCGCCGCCGCCGGCGCCCTGGCCCCCCGCGTTGTCGGGGACGGCATAGTGGCCGTAGTCGCCCGCGGCATAGGGGCTCGGGGCGCCGTAGTGGCCGCCGTAGTAGCCCGTGTGGTAGGCGTAGCTCAGGTCGCTGGCGGCCGCCGCCGCCGGGTAACCGGCGTCCAAGCTGCAAGCACGCGATTGGTCGAGAGGAGTTTGTTCGGAGGAAAGGTGAGGGGTGGTGTTGGTTGGAACTTCGTTTAACAGACTCGTTCTCCGATTATAACAGTTGGAGATTGGAACATTGAGGAGAATAATATTAATGAATGACAACCTATCGTAATGTGAGAGCGTAGGTTTCTCTCGCTGGAGTCAGTATTTACTCAGCTATCCGGGAGACACCGCGTTCAGACCAACGAAAGTTATTATAATTTTTTCGGTCAGTGAGTTTTAACAAGGCGAGTGATAATATTTCAAAGTTGTAAATTAATTGCATACTTGTACGAATATAATCTGAAGTCTCTACAATCCTAATGATATGTAACATATGTATCAATATCCTGCAAGTTCAATCGTACTTGAAAGAAGCCGTTACCTAAAAAGTGGCTCTTGATAGTGAATAATACCCAATGTCCTCTTTCTGAAGTGTTACAAAACTGCATTTAAGTAAGAGCGCAGCGCATCAAAAAAAATGTTTACATTTCATTTACGTCGCCATAAACGTTCACCCCCCCCCATGTAATTAATTGGCTGTGTGGGTGACGCCGCGTCCATGGCGAAGGTGCCGACGTTTCGGCCGCCATTCTGCCACCTTCCTCAGGGCGTAATGCCCATTGGCATTACGCATGGCATTACGCATTGCCCATTACGCTCTGAAGAATTGAATTGAATTGAATTAATGCTTTATTTTACGTGGCGAGACTCAGGTCATTAGGCCTGCTCTTCCACGCAAATTTCGCTACTAGCAGAGAAAGGAGGTATTTCTTGGGCAAGAAACAGGCGATTTGAATTTAGCTCAGAGGCGTCAT